AATTACCAAAATTTAACAGATTCTAGATTTCTTTTCTTTCGATTTGAGAAACAAATAATACCAATGCAAATATAAGGTAAAAGTCCGAGTCAGCCTTTTCCTGCCATTTTTTATACGACCGCAAAAATTAAAAATTTTTTGGTCGTATATTGGTATGACGTTGGCGTCGTCGTTGTCGTCGTTGTCCGGCGTCGTCCGAAGACACATTGGTTTTCGCACTCTAACTTTAGTTTAAGTGAATGGATCTCCATGAAATTTTACCATGAGGTTCAATACCACGAAAGGAAGGTTGGGATTGATTTTGGGGGTTATGGTACCAACAGTTAAGGAATTAGGGGCCAAAAAGGGGCCAAAAATAAGCATTTTTGTAACTTCCAGACAATAACTTGTGTGTAAGTGTATGGATCTCTCTGACATTGTACCACAAGGTTCCATATCACAAAGGGAAGGCTGTAATTGATTTTGGGGGTAATTGCCTCAAAATATTAGGAATTAGGGGCCAAAAAAGGGGCAAAAAACAAGCATTTTTCTAGTTTCATGACAATAACTTGTGTGTAAGTGTTTGGATATTTCTGAAATTGTACTACAAGGTTCCATATCACAAAGGGAAAGCTGGAATTGAGTTTGGGGGTAATTGCCCGAAACGTTTAGGAATTGGGGGCCAAAAAGGGGCCAAAAATAAGCATTTTTCTAGTTTCCAGACAATAACTTGTGTTCAAGTGTATGGATCTCTCTGAAATTGTACTGCAAGGTACCATACCACAAAGGGAAGGCTGGGATTGAGTTTGGGGGTGATGAATCATAAGGGGGTTCAAAAAATTTGGGTGGGGGGGGATTTTTTTTTTCTTTTTTTTCTTTTTTTCCTTTTTTTTTTCTTTTTCCATTTTAAGTTGGTTATTTCTGATTAATATTTAAAAGCAAATAATTATGATATGGTAGGAGATACACACCAAACAGGATGTGTAAATTATTATATAATAAGTATTGTGCAATAGCAAGAAATTTTCAATTGCACAGTATTGCGCAATAGCAAGAAATCTTCAATTGCACAGTATTGCGCAATTGCAAGAAATCTTCAATTGCACAGTATTGCGCAATAGCAAGAAATATCCAATAGCACAATATTGCGCAATAGCAAGAAATTGTCAATTGTACAGTACTGCGCAATAGCAAGAAATATTCAATTGCACAGTATTGTGCAAAAGAAGATACTTCGTATAAATTGCTTATTTCTTGATCAATTTCAATGGGGTTTTATTCTTGAATTCTTGGGGTTCTTTAATATGCTGAATCTAATCGTGTATTAAGTTTTTGGATTTTGGGCCCCGTTTTTAAATTGGTCCACATTGAGGTCCAAAGGGTCCAAAATTTAACTTTGTTTGATTTCATCAAAAATTGAATTAGTGGGGTTCTTTGATATGCCGAATCTAACCGTGTATTTAGATTCTTAATTTTTTGGTTCCGTTTTCAAATTGGTCTACATTAAGGTCCAAAGGGTCCAAAATTAAACTTAGTTTGATTTTAACAAAAATTAAATTTTTAGGGTTCTTTGATATGCTGAATCTAAACATGTATTTAGATTTTTGATTATGGGCCCAGTTTTCAAGTTGGTCCAAATCGGGGTCCAAAATTAAACTTTGTTTGATTTCAACAAAAATTGAATATATGGGGTTCTTTGATATGCTGAATCTAACCATGTATTTAGATTTTTGATTTTTGGGCCCCGTTATCAACTTTGTCCACATTGAGGTCAAAAGGGTCCAAAATTAAACTTTGTTTGATTTCATCAAAAATTGAATTCTTGGGGTTCTTTGATATGCTGAATCTAACCATGTATTTAGATTTTGGATATTGGACCATAATAGGTGAATGTCCAATTTAAAATTTTTAAGTTCTTGGACCACATTCATTCTGTGTCAGAAACCTATGCTGTGTCAAATATTTAATCACAATCCAAATTCAGAGCTGTATCAAGCTTGAATGTTGTGTCCATACTTGCCCCAACTGTTCAGGGTTCGACCTCTGCGGTCGTATCAAGCTGCGCCCTGCGGAGCATTTTATTAACAATTAAATATCTTGAAAAGGAGCTCCATAACCTATCAATATTCTTAGCTTAATTTGTTCCTTAACTAATGCTGTTCTAATACAGTACCATTCAAGAGGACCAGCTCTCCCACACCCTACACCAAGGAAAATGTTGGAGTCACTCCGAAAAACTCCGATATTCCTCCCAAAATGTTGGGAGGAATTTAGGAGTAATCTCTCCCAAAATCGTGTAAATGTTTATTGTGATAGCTACCTCACTCCCTACACCGAGGAATTAATTGCCCTTATCCTACTTTGATCTCTACCCGCAGACCACTGATAGGGTAATTGGGTTACCTGACAGGTACATTTTGTAAAGGTTGATGTAATAAAGAATTATATTTCCGGTCTACTGTACCAGTTTAAGTGTCAAACAGGTGTATAATTTTAAATGTCTTTTTATACTGGTTAAGTTTAATTTTTGTGGTAATAATAAGTTAAAATATTTTCGTATTTCTTGCTTGCCAATCTAAAAATATCTTTACCTAAATGTACTTGCTTTAAAAAAAAAAGGATTATAAAATATAGTGGAAAATGTGAAAAAACGCATTATTTTTTTCAAAGTTAAAGTCTTTATTTGAAAATTATGTGTCTCAAAGTTTTGTATATGCAAGGATTTGTATTTCTATACAAATCCTTGGTATATGCAAGTAAAAAGGAAAATTTATTCACCATTCGTTAGGCATAATAATTATGTAAGTCTACGGCATTTTCTTTTTATGATTATCTAACTGCTTGAATGAATAAAAGATTTAAAAGCAAAATGTTGTTGTTAATTCTTTCAATTGCATTAAAGTTTTATAAAAAATAAAAACTGTACTTAATTTTGACCTCAATGTCTTCACCAGTAAATTAATATTTTATTTACGAAATGGACATACTTGTGTAAAAATAACCGGAAACTTCCGCTAACTTTATGAGAGCAGTTTAAAGAAAATCATAAAAATTACGTGTCACAAAGTTTTGTATATGCAAGTAAAAAAGAAGATATTATTTACCATTCGTTATGCTTAATATTTACGGCATTTTCGTTTTACGATTTGTTGGCATTACTTTAGGATAATAATACATTTCGGTTACAACAGGAATACTTCCACAGCTGCATTAATTCGTCTTTGTATAATATTTATTTTCGCACAATGAATGTAAATTTGTGTCTTTTGAACAGTGATCGTAAAAGATTTAAAAATAATTATTAGCCGTGCGAAGACAATTCCACGATACACATCTCAGTTATCAACAGTTTGGGTTGAACTTGAACTTGACTTACTTAACAATGTTAAATGCTAAAAATAGTTAACATTAATTTTATCCACAGCACGAGATTTTTAAAGGGCGGGAAATAATATCACGTACCAGTAAACTCAGGTGACCTTTCTGGACGACCGTGGGAAAATTCATTCAGGTTTTTAAAGTTGCAGAACGACATTTTTTTGTGCGTTCTTATTGAGGGTCTAGAAGGTGTTTATACAATTGATTAACCGGAATCTAAAATATAAATCTTTTCCGAATAATCGAGAACACATCTTCTTTAGCTATTTGATGTTTTATGTTTTATCAGTCAAAACAGGGTAGACCTGAACATTAGTTAGACGTCCATGGTCAATAATATAAATTTATTGTTGATGAAATATTGAAATTATGATGGAAATTGTCCGGGGGGATCAATTGTGTTCAAATGACAAAAATACGATAAAGAACTGCCAATTGTGGGCGGTTGAGAAATTTTGAAAATGAAATGCTGACTGATTTAACTGGAATAGAATATTATGATGGGCAATTGAGGTTTAATAATAATTAAAGGATTAGTGACCTATCGGATGGCGATAAACGGATTACTTATCATCATAACTTTTAACATCTTTTGTAAACGTTAAATGGCTGAGCGTCATAAACTTGTCAAAAACATGAAGACCGGTAGAATTATAGTAATTTAATGCGAAAATATTTTAACACTTTCCAAATTTAAATGACGAAATCGATATAAAATACTTTCGTCAATTTGAAAACCGTTTCGTAAAATACGAAAATGACAAGCGCTAGCAAAATCACTTGAAGTTATTCCCTTTGTTCAACAGAGTTGTCACTTTACAGTTTCTTTTCGTAATTTAAATTATTCAAGTCTGTATAAATGTACCGAGGTGGTGAAACATAATATTTTAAATTGCTCAATAAATTGAGTTTACTTGTTGATCCGATGAATAGATTGGACGATAGAGTTACCGTAAAAACAACATTTTTTTTATTAGCCAGTTGATTTTTAAATAATGAACAATTAATGCACGGATATTGCTTATTGAGTAAGTCATAAAAGATTCTAATGGTGGCAAAATCGTCTTTGTTGAAAGAACACAATGTATGACCTGACCCAAGTTTTTTTCTTCAAATTTTTTCGTTTGTAAAATTATTTCAAAGATAATGGCGTGGGACAAAAACATATAAGATAATAATTATCTTATTCAAAATGATAATTTCACATCGTTATCTGTCAAAGAAAGGAAAACATTTGTTAAAATTTTAATACTGTTATTTTAAAGCACACCTGTGCAATCAAGATCGATTAAATGTACATAGGTAAATTATCTGGCTAATCCGATTATGTTGTCACGCGTCGTTAATTTTTAGTACATCAGATGGGCAATAAACCAATTAACAGCCACGCGGTGTTGGGAGAGAATCTTTGGAGGAATTTGGGAGTGAAATCCGCAGTACTCGGTGTTGCTCCGAAAAACACAGAAATCGGAAAAAAAACGATATCGAATCGATCCGTTTAAATGGTACTGTAGTATCAATTTTAAATTCTAGATTTTTTTTAATTTCACCTAAGAACATCCTTAACTCTTTTATAACAAGCAGATGAATAAATATATACTAACATTCCATTTAAAAATTCTTTCATATAAAACTTTACTTACAGTTATTGATAAACCTAGCCCATCATCAGCACCTTTCTGTATAAGAACCTTCCTCACATCTCCCAATCCATGCTGTTTTCTTAAGGATTTAAAGTCCTGCAAAATTAACCATAATATTATACTTAGAGAGCACAATATAATTCAGGTACAAATCACTCTTACTGGTGATTATTCTCGGTGAATTCTGGTGATTGTGGGTGAATCACTCTTTAAATTCATCAGGAAAATTTGTCAGGATTGTAAATCACCTCCAATCAATACTCTGTTTTAAATAAATTCACTTAGCAAGAGTGATTTTTCAATTGCCTTGTTTGTATTGAACCTGGGACTAATAGATAATGTAGTAGTCCCAGACTGAACCTAAAATCAAAATCAGACAAAATCATATCCTGTACTTTATATATTGCCAGATATTTTTTTCATTTTCATTGTACTTCTGTCCAGTATTATAATTTTTATAAACTACTTTTTTTATTGAATAGGAACATTGGAATTCCTTTAAAATAATTATGGAATATTATACTTGAGCTTTTTCATTAATCATTTGAGAAACAGATTATACCATTTTACCTATTAATCATGTAAATCATATTAATCCACACTTTGAATTGGATTTTCAATTTTTTTAAATGCTCAGAAATCTTTGGATGTTAACAAAAACATTAATGGTCTTGAATAAAAGTATTTACACTTTTGGTATTTAGCTGAATTTTGTCTCAGAATGACCTGAGATCTGCTCAAAATAACCTTCTGACGTCAAGCAACAATCAATTTTTTAATTATGACGTCAAATTTTTATTAAATTGTGATGTCAAATTTTATGGGAACTTGTGTGATTTTAAGTAATGGCAGACAAATTTGCATACAAGTGTAAGTATGTCTATGGATAATATCTCATTAAATGGGGTGCTGTGATAGAATATGTCCTGATAATAAGGATTTCATCATATCAATATTGAATATCAGCTGTGAGTCACAACATGAAGATCTTAGTCAATGCAAAATAAGAACAAAAAATAATTCATATTGAGTCAATCAGCTGATATTTTACAGTGTCAATATGAGGAATATTTCAGATTGCATTTGTGTTATTTCATGATAGAAATAATGTTTTTTTTTGGTTATACCACCAAAACAGATGAGAACTTAGTACCTTCAACCTAAATATTGTTCTATTAATGGCCTATTCAAACTAATATGCTTGTTATAAACTTTATGTTTTTTGTGCATTAGTGAGCACCATATTTTAAAAAGTTTCCTCGGAGATAAATGTGTAAATAACTCAATTTATCGCTATTTTACGAAAATTTCCTTTGATCTTACCGACTGATAATTTCCTTTCTCAGCAGAGTCTAGTGATATGAAAATTATCGCTAGAAACTAAGGGGGCAAGTGCCGTTGCTAATGAAATTGACATGAAATTGACAACGTCGTCATAGGTAAAATAGCGATAAACAGATTATCATTGGTCATCTCAACTCGGTTGCTTTTCTCGCTTTCGTCGTACCAGCTCAAGCGAAAAAATCAATCTTGTTGAGATGATCAACGATAATCTATAATTATATATGAAAATTTTAAAAAGCTCACGACTTGGGACAGACATATATAGAACAAACCCTATCCCTAATGTGTCTAATTCAAACAAAATCAAAAATATTATATAGAGTTTAGGAAACACAGGCCTAAGTTTATCTAATTTTACAAAACTTACATGGCCTGCAGGAACAGGTAATTTTTTCTTCCAATTATTCCGTCCACGACAAGCTCGTATAACTGTTTTGTGTCTATGTAGATGGATTTCTGCTTCTAACTGGTTCCAAAGTTTGTCATGCTCTGCTCCTCTCATGTCTCTACCTAACAACTGGATCTGCTGAATTCTGCAAAACATAAAAAACATGATAGAAGACTGTAGCAAATTTTTCATTCATATTTAAGAGGAGAACAAATTATCAATAAATCTTATATGCAAGCTCTGCAAATTGGGTCTACCACATTGAAAGGCAAAATGTTTGATTGCTGTCTCAATGATTGTGCCAACATCTCCATTTCTTCAAGGGGCCACAGTGGATAAATGGTTTAAGTAGTTCATCTACAGTAATCACTAGCATTTCAATACTAGAATTGTGCAGGGCTCGACATTGCCGTTTGTCCGATTGTCCAGGACAAGTGGACACAGACGTCAGGCAAGTAGATTCACCATACTACTTGTCCGATGGGACAAGTGAAAAATCGATATCAGATGGAAAATATATCAAATTCAAGACTTATAAATTCCAAAAACAATGGATGATTCTTTTATTGATCATACGAAATGAAATAAATATTCATTGATTGTACATGCTGGCAGCGGCTGACCAGGGGAATATAGGTAAGGGGGAAGGAAATCAATGTTAATATGCTGGGAAGATTTCATTCGAACCTCTCAGGGAGAAGCTTTCATATCGAAAAGGATAAATCTCGAGGGATCCTGGTCACCAAAATCGCGATCTCTAACATGTTTTAATCAGTTGAAACTCACAAGGCGGCCAGGTGTATTTAAAAATAAATGTTTGTAACGCATTTAGGTATATACCAGTGATTCCGAAGGTCGGTCAGACATAGGCAAATGTTCGGTAATTTTGAGTCTGGTCCGATTATTTTCTGTTTCATCTCGGACCAAGTGTTTAGTCATTAATTTAGGGATTTCCCATATTTTCCCGCCAAAAAGTTCCCAACAAATGTAAACATACAAATTTTGCATGTGACCATGATTTGTTTGCAGGATTACTGCTTTTTTTAATTTAATTTGGATATAGATATTCATTTTAAGGTACAGTCAAGCATTGGCATTTTTATAGAATAATTTAAATACAATTTTAAATTTTCAACTTGGAGAAACTTGGTCATACGATGTTTCATCGGTCCGAGTAATCTAAGGCCGAGTTGACTGTTTATAGCGACTGGTTTTTGGTAGAAATATTACCCGCCAAGTTAAATAAATAGGTCGTGGAACCAGTGTAGACATTATTCAACGAAGTTGTCAGATTTGACCGGTGTTTAGTACTGTACTTTGCCGATATTACAACAGTTTTGATGTTCAATGACAAATAAATTTACTAGCCCCTAGGGCTATCGCGCCACAGACTTTCACTAGCCCGACACAAACGTTACTAGTCTAGGGCTATCGGGCTAGCGTTAGTGTCGAACCCTAAATTATAGCATAACAAATTGCTCCCATCATTAGGTATGATCAAAGCTCAAGTGTTATTGGTGCATATCATCAATATGCAAGATTTTCACTTTATTTTGAATTCGGACAAGTGAGTTATGAGTTCAAACAAGTTGATTTTCTTTCAACTTGTCCGAAGGGACAAGTTAGAAAAAATGATAATGTAGAGGCCTGTTGTGATTTGAAATCATGTTTGTGGCAAGGTGAGCGGACTCTGAACTCAATTGACCAGGATTGCCAGTCATCTGGCAAAGGTTGTGGTTCTCTCCATCTTATCGGCTTACTTCACAAATAGAAAATGGCTGCCATGAAATAGGTACTTAGGATCTTTTTTTGTCTAGGTGCTTGAATACTCATCATAAAACTTATCATACATCTACTTCATTTTATATTTACCTTCCAGCTAATTCTTTGTCTAAATACTTAGCGGCAAGTCTTGCACCATAAACTTCTCCCTGCAGAGCTAAAACATATTGACGTAGTTCAGTATTTTCTTTCCTTAATTCTTTAACTTCTGCCTCTAATTTAGCCATGTTTAAAAATTCTGCTTTCTGTGCCTGCAATTCATCCTCCTGAAATTATAAAACAATGAATACTTTAAATTCAGAAATGTCTGCAATGATTTTATTATTGCTTAATTTGCAACAGATAATAGGTTTCGCCAAATACAAACTGGCATTTAAAATCATATAGCATTATTTGGCTAATTCATCTTCTTTCAGTTTCAAGATGAACCTAGGTTCAAGACTTCTTTGAAAGTATTATTCCTAAAAATATATATCCCACTGACCTCTCAACAAATTATATGGGTCACAACTTCATTACATGACGTATTAGCAAAACAAATATTTGACAGTATAAACAATGTACTGATACTACATGTATTCTAGTTCCTCGAGATACAAATTATAGACAAGAAAGGATATGGGAACCCATCCATGGCACAAAATCTGTACAAATGTATATGCACAGCAAAAAACACACAAAGCAAAGGAACAGCATATGTTCTCTAATAAATTTTCTGTCACTACAAAAAGTTTTTTCTCACCAGTTTTTTCATTATGCTTGTAGAATCAGCTTCTATGCCTTTTTCAGCCTGTTTTTGTAACTGTAGTGAGTGAAGTTGTAGTAAGACATTATGGAGTTCCTTCTCAACCAGAGCTTTAGAGGATTTCATTTCTATCATGTCCGATCTCATATCTACTAGCTGTGCCTGGAAATTAAATATAAATTAAATTGGAGGATTTCATTTCTATCATGTCCGATCTCATATCTACTAGCTGTGCCTGGAAATTAAATATAAATTAAATTGGAGGATTTCATTTCTATCATGTCCGATCTCATATCTACTAGCTGTGCCTGGAAATCAAATATAAATTAAATTGGAGGATTTCATTTCTATCATGTTCGATCTCATATCTACTAGCTGTGCCTGGAAATTAAATATAAATAAAATTAACCATGTTAACTAAGGTCATGAAGGTCAAGCCTAATATAATATGAAGATTATCTGTGAACTTATTGATTCATTGATTGTTACATTCTAAAATATATATACATGTATATATATAATATATAAGTCTAAATATGTGACAACTTTATGGCAGATGTTCTCCATCAGATAACATGTGGTTATACAGGGCTAACACCATAATTTATAAATACTTCGTCTCAAATTTAGCCCAACAATGTTAGATCTCCAAATTTTTGTTAATTTATATATATACATGTACATAAAATTGACAATGGAAATGGGAAATATGTCAAAGAGACAACAACCCGACCAAAGAGCAGACAACAGCCGAAGGTCACCAATGGGTCTTCAATGCAGTGAGAAAATGTCTATTACAGAAGTACAAGAGTGCACAGTTGTGAAACACATGTATCAGAAAGCTAAAATAAATATAATAAAAATTAAAAATATCATTCACATTATTTATTTTATGTTCATCTCAAGTACAATGTATATGTACATGTACATGTATTAACGTCAAGAAACAACATGGGAAAAATTACATAAACTCAAGGATGCTTGAAACAGTGATTTTTCTACCTTTTGGGACCTGGGCCCTAGTAGGCAATTGGGAAAAATGTGTCATATAATGTGTGAATTGGAAATAAATAAATAATTGTTTTCATCATATTTTAATGAGGTTATTTAATAGAATTCCATTTTCTATCATCATGATCATCATGATCATGTTCCAATTTGAACATCATCGACAAGTTTATCAAGGTTCTCATCTGCAAGGGTTCATCTTCTGTAGTGTAAAGTTTTGTTATAAAACACTTTGATCATACTGATTCGAAACAATGCTTTGCCGTCCCTAAAATGTTAATTCACATTGGTCAGGATCAATATCACCAAGCAATAGATCAAGATCTACAAAGGCTTTGTCATTTTGGGACCCTTTATAGCTTGCTGTTTGGTGTGAGCCAAGGCTCCGTGTTGAAGGCCGTACTTTGACCTACAATTGTTTACTTTTTACACATTTTGACTTGGATGGAGAGTTGTCTCATTGGTACTCATACCACATCTTCTTATTTCTATTGGGGGCAGAAATTTATTCACACTTTCGTGATTGAAAAGTATTTCAATCCAGTATGTAACCTGATTTTTGTAAGGATTTCATTTCAGGCTTTATGTTGATTACGAAATACCTGTTAACAACTGGACGTCATCCAGATACATACCTAAGCTATTCCATTATAAAACCTAGTTTTGAACATGTTGAAATATGATTGTTATATCCGTCTATATTTGAAGAGGGTTTTTTAGGAACAGTACAACAACCTTTATTTTGAACAAAATCTTGCGAATGATAAAATTATCAATAATCTTTCCTCTACAACCTGATTGGATTGGGAATTTCACTGGTTCATCTGAGAAAATTTCAGGTTTTTCCCAATTGGGAACGGGGCAAATATTCGGCCCACAAAATTTAAGGCATGGAAAATCTCTGTGAAAAAAATACACTAATTTCATGTAATGCATCTCTTTTTCAAACTTAATAACTGCAAGTCATCTGATATTAGAAAATATTTATATATATATATATTAAAACAAAAGTGGGTTATTGTGTTAATAAAGAGTAAAGTGTGAATGTAAATCTGCTTACTTCAACCGATGCACTGTCAATTACAAGAACTATGAGTGTACTCATGGCAATTTTGTGATGTAAACACTGATGTCTGTTACATTGAACCCTAAATCATGATTGATGACAGGTGCATATTGAGCAGGTTGAGAATAACATTTAGTATTTTTTTAAAAGACACGACAAGTCTTAGCTTGGTTGTAATAATTTCAAAAATAGATAGAAAATTGTTTTCTACAGAAAGTCTTACTTCAAGCTTTGCATTTGACTGAAATACTGTTTGAGCTTTGTGACAGAGTTGGGCAAATGCAGCACTGAGGGCTGTCATCTTTTGCCGTCCCTCAAATGTTAATTCACATTGGTCAGGATCAATATCACCAAGCAATAGATCAAGATCTACAAAGGCTTTGTCAAATTCTTTTTCTAAAAGTTCTAACCACCGAAACGATAAAGTAGCTGTCATTTTGGTGAGGCGACAAACATTAATTTTTTTCCTTCAAGGTCTAATTAGTTCGTGATAGGGAGCGAAGAAATTAATGAAATTACAAACGCTCTTAGGATTCAAATGAATAAAAACCAAAATGTCACACGTCATCTAACGGGAAAATTTCCGGAGAAATAAGTTTTTTAAGCGGCAAATTCAAAAAGATAAAATAAACCTTATTTCTAGGTTTATTGTATTTTTATGGTGAAGTTGTTAGTGATTGTTTTTCTTGTTGATAGTGCTTTTGTTTTTTGTTTTTTCCTTTTCTGTTGTTTTTATTTTTTGTTTTTGTTTTTGTATTTTTTTTTTTTAATTAAAATATATATGTTTGATACACCAAGGATTTATATAGTCGTTGATTACATTCATGGCACAAAATCACACACGCACTTGACGAAACCAAGCAAAACAACCTATTAAGCATGTTGCTGCATTTTGTTGTCGTTGTTGTCAACAATGTGTATGCGTTTGTTGAATTGAAGCCTCCCTTTATCTATATATTTTTTTTGTTAAGATTTTTTTTTCTAAATATTTTTTAATATTTTAACTTGTTTTCACTTATTCAATACGTTCTTTCTCTTATCCATACGATATTATGATAACAGTAGATTATTCAGTATGATGCCCCTCTATTCTTATTTTCCCGAAACAAAATGAATAGAGAGGCACCATATATAAACTATTGTTATTGCTATATCGTATGGAAAAGAGCAAGAAAACATAAAAGAAGTGAAGATATTCAAGAATATTTACAAACAAAATTATAACACAAAACAAACAAAAATATAAAGAAAAAGGGTGACCGATCCACAAGCGCCTTTTTTGAAAGAGAGATGCTAGTTGCACGTACGTTAATGAACTTCTACAACAACGTATTTGAAGGCTTTGTGTGTATGATATCCGCTGTACCTTCTTTTTCCAGTTTCTGTCCTTCATCTAGGTCGATTTACTTTTCGGAACCTACCAGTTAGATATATCGTTAATTTGTTTTGGTCCTGAATGTTCATAAAATATTTGCCACTGGACGTCACAAGTTCAGCAAACACATTATTGAAATTTTACCTCAGATTTCCGAATGGAGTTTCTGGGAATCATTTTAAAAAAAATCGCAAGATACAAAGCTGTTTGCTCATTAAACATTTCTGGTCCATTTGTTTTCCCCGATGTAACTATTCCCTATATTCATAATGTAAAACAAAGCAATTGTTATTTGTTTGATTACGATCCGAATATGTTTTCGCATGTGGCATGTGATCGGTGTCTGAATATATTTTTTAAAGTGTTCCACATGGCCCCTCACGGAATAAACTGTAACATGTTATTGTGATCATTTAGTTTGGTGGGGTGCCATATGGAACTCTTGTTGTTTTCAAGTTAAGAGAGAATATTCATCGAAATTCAGATTTTGTTATGAGTCCAGAAAGTTCATCATTTGCTACAAATCTTAGATATCAACGAAATAAGTATGGCTCGTTCTATAAAACGAAAGGTTCTTAAATAAAATTAAGAATTTATTAGTAAAACAAACAATTAACGAATGTCTGTAATGCATTAGTCTGGCGGATCCATGATTCTTTTTAAAGGAAGGGGTATTTCCCCAAAAGTTAGTATTATACCGCCGAGCAGAGCGATGACAAAACGATTTTGGACGATTCTGTTCTACAAAATCATTAATGATATATTTTCCAATCAAGGGGAGATGTACACAATCTACCCCCACACGCTTGAATCCGCGACTGGATATTAAAAGATATCTGTTTTATTATAGAAATTGGATGCTATATTTAATATTTAAGAAGCCATAACCCATCACCCTGCTTTCAACAAACTCGACAGTTAACAGTTTTGAACGTTAATTGTCCACATTTAGTTTAAACCGATCGAAGCCATTTGGTGTTGCTTTTGCATTGAGACTACTATTGCGCAAATACTTAGTATTAATAGTCTCAGGTCTAGAAAAAAACATAATCGTTACAATTAATGACCTTTTCTTATGTGTTAATTCCGTTTTATAATAGTTTACTACGATCTTAAACCACGCAGTAGACGTTCTATTCTATACTATATAAGTACAATTCAATAGAATATGCCAATTATATTCTTGTTTACATAATTAAGCTTCATATTTGTTATCATATTATATTGAAGTATGTTATCTTTCAATTTGTCTGTGGTTTCCTGAAGTTGAAACAGATTATGTCGTGACATGATTACTGTCATTCCCATACGGAAAACCACAGAAAAAATGATTTTATTTAGTACACAGTATTATTTGATAATTGAACAGAAAAGTGCAGCTGTGTTTTAAAATATGATTAAATTATCCATGCATAATATTGTGTGACCCCTTAGACTTTTTTTCCAAGGTATTGGTTTCAAAAAATTGCCTTTCAACCCCAATTTTTGCCACTTTTCTTTAATTTCATGATTTTAATTATGATCATTCATTTCTATTTAAAAAGACTGAATTCATTAAAGTTTGTAAACAATGGTCTTGTTTAGGTTAAGGTGTCACCCTTTATCATTATTCATTCAAATATAAAATACCTGTCTATACTTTATTGAGCAGTCTGTTCCTGAAATTTCAACTATAGAAACACAAAGTATAAAGAAGAAATTCTTAAGTCTTTGGTATGTTTAATTCTCCTTTGAAGTTTTAACCAACGATGAAAACTGAAACTTCTTTTGGTCTACTGCATACCTAAATTACGTACTTATATTGATGACCTAGATCTGCCTTCAATCTGCCAAATTCTCATCGAAACCTCTCAATAAAATTTTGTTTTTAACCAGAAATCTATAAAAAAAAACGGGCGTTATGTAAATGTTAAGCTATCAGATTAATAGGCAGATTTTTATTGATTTTTTTGTTTTTTAATGCTCTTCAACTGTCTAATTGATTAGGCCTTTCAATTGTTTTGATTTGAGCGCTACTTGTGAGTCTTCTATAGACGCATGTCTGTCATATATACTAAATCATAAGTCTTGTATCTTTGATCAGGGGGGTTACATGGGGTGCTCATTTCACCAATCCCGGTTTTATTTTGTGATTTTTTCACACTTTCCACTTTTCACCCTTATTTTCGTAGATCTCACTTTTATTACCACCTATATTCCCATCCCAACTTTTTTTACCCCTATATCCCACATCCCAAAAGCGTGTCACCCCCATCTTTGATTAGCTCTGATTTGAAAATATTAAACAGGGGCGGATCCAGAACCTCGATGTCTGGGGGGGGGGGGGGGGGGGGGGTGCACCATGAAACCAAATTTAAAGATTTGTGAAGAGATGTATATATGGTGGTGGTGTCATGTATTGGGGATGATGGTGGTCGTGGGGGGTGGTGGTGGGGTGGGGGGGGGGGGGGGGGGGGTTAGGTCTTCATTTTCTATATCTTTTCAATAATTTTGGGTCCATTTCTTTCTACTCTTTTATTTGCTGCAAATTGTCCTCTATTCTCTATAGTTCAACACCTTTAATCTGTTTTCTATATTTTTGGGGCCCATTTTTTTCTAGTCTTTACTTTTTTACCATTATTCTCTAATCTGTAAACCCTCATTCACGGTAAACCATTCATACACTCTTTCACGGTAACCTATTCATATCCTCATACACGGTAATTGAAACAAGAAAAAATATACAAATATTACGGTACTATAAGTAGGTTTTCAAAAATACAATATAATTTTATTGATGATTATATATCAGGCACAGACCATTCATGTTTTGTGGAGGGGGGGGTTAAAGACAAATCGACGGTTTCCATAAAAAATAAGAGGAAAAGAAACACGACATTTGAGTTTAAATAAAAAAGCTGTATGCATTGAAAAAATTGTTTGTTGTTTAATAAAGTTCGAAAAAGACTGTTCTGAGAAAGACACATTCCCCAGAAACCGTATACAATGTGAGTGTATGGTAATAAAGACGTATCTCATATCGATACTTACCTTCTTGACACTAAACATCTATTTTTACATATTCTTTTAAGACCGATTTTAGTTTGTAATTTCTTTCCTGATAAGAAGATTTCACTTGTTAATTGATCTTGATCCGGGTAAATCCGCCACTGCTCTCATCAATTAAATCATGATAGGAAACACAAATCCTTGAATACCAATACGACGACATCCTCTATATGCAATGGCTCCTGGGATGACGCTACATATAGAAATGAGGAGTTCTCAATGAAAAAATTGGAAGCAATATATTTTGTCGTAAATTAAGGTTTATATATCAATCGAAGGTAGTTTTAGAGTAACTCTTATTCTGTCCAGTTTGTACTGCCCATAAAATAGACGTTGATAATTTGAAAAGAGGGTTCGTACAACATTTGACAGACAAAACAATACACAGTTGCTTGTGCACATTTGTTAATTAGTTATCCAGTAGAGCAAAAGAAAGATCTATCTTTGACGGAAATTCTAAAGGAATATAAACCATACCTGTGATTTTTCAAGATTTCCTCGTTACTATGTATCGAAGGTGTATATGTTGGGTTTCTAAGTGAATTACCAATACACAATTCCCTTATCAAGCCGTTTAAATAATGCAAACATATGTTTCGGGCTTTGTCTGCGGGCATAACAACATATTTGTCATGGAGGTACGACAAATATCTGTTTTTAGAAAGGGACAAATTAATTGTAATATACCACTCTGTTTAAATAAAAAGTTTACTGAAACTGACATTCAAAGATGCTTGATATTTTTATTTACAGCATATGCTTCCTTTTGGTGGTAGTTTTTGTTAATATGCAGTCTGCATTCCTATGGGAGCCAACTATGCTACTTTCTTGTCGGTTTGATTCTCTATTTATAGGCCGGACAGGCTTTACATCGGAGCTTCTACATATGAATGAAAAACTGACACGATCCTTTAACTTAACTTTCTGCTATATTGATGATGTCCTCTCATGCACTGGACAATCCAAATTTTAGTGAAAATGTTTAATGCACCTATCCCATTGAACACGAAATAAAAGAAATACCAGATACATAACATATAGGTCTGCTTGA